GAGAAATCACAGCAGCAGAGGCAGCAGAACCAAGACACCGACTCGAGACAGAGTCGGGGACTTCCCAGCCCACGGAGCAAGAAAGCTGAGTGCCTTTGGGCAGGAGTCTTGTTAGTGGAGTGGGGTGTAGCTCTGTAGGCAGAGCTAAAAGAGCTTTGTAACACTTGCCTGAGCAGAGCAGAGATCAGGCTGAGGGGCTCAGGGCCAGAGAGGCGTGTCTGTGGGCGTGGCTGAGGGGAGGGTGTCCTGATTGACTGTTCCTGAACCTGAATTATACCATTACTTCCCTAATAAACCCCATAATCGTGAATATTGTCTGTGAGTTCTGTGTGGCAATTGCAACGATTACTGAATCCAGCAGAGAAGAAGAGTGTCACGGTAGGGACAGTTGGTGTGAGAATTGGCAAAAAGGTTGGAGGGTGGCGGCATGTCTGACCTCCGCCTCATAGGAATCGGCCTTGAGCTGCTGATGTAGCTCCGGATCCTCCATCCCCTCATGAAGTAAGAGGTCAGAAGCCACCCACACCCTTTTTGCAGGTACCCATTGCTCCTGCTTTTCTTTTCTCTTACCTGGAGCTAGCCTGGCTTCCTCTGAGCGTCCATGGTTCCTTGTCCTGGGCACAGTCCCTCAGGCCTGCACCCCTGACTGACAGAAAGCTCTGGGGAAGAGAGAGGGCTTCAGCCACTCTTCAAGGCCCTTACTAGCCCTGACCCTTTGGATCTGTTCAGCCTCATCATCTTGAGAGTGGCCAGGCATTCAGGGGAAGTTCATTGTTAAATAGTCTCACCAGGTTGGCCACGTTTGCCATCACAGACCTCTTGTAAGGCCATGGCATTGCCTTACCCCCTACTACATCTTGCTAGGTCCCCTTCTCCCCTAGAGGATTGCTTCACCTTCCGGCTCTCTGTGAATCTCCAGCCCCAACAGTAACCTCATTTTCTTACCACTGCATGTCAGCCCCACTGTGTCTGTGGCCCTGTATTGCAGTCATCGCGCACCCCACTGCACTCAGGCACTGGCCCCCAGCTCCTCTTGCTACTCAAGAACTCTGTGCCTCAAGTATCCTTTTTTCTTTTTTTCTTGTGTCATTAACTTCCTCCTCACTGTTAAACCATTCCTCTCAGTATCCAATCATTGTTAAATCTCCCTACCTAACCCTCCAGTCTCCTTTCTTACATCCCATCCCATTTTTCTTTCTTTCTTCTTTTAAGTCGTGATTTGGGTGAAAGTTTACAGAGCAAATGAGTTTTCCATGCAATAGTTCATGCACATTTTGTGGCATTCCTTGCAGTCTCCACAGTGTAACATCACTCTCCCGCTTCCTCCCAGTATTTACCATTTCCGTTCATCCTTCTCTCCCACCCCTTCCTGCCTTCTGAGCTTTATCCCTGGGCAAATGCTGCCCTTTTGTTCTCACAGGGAGAAGGTACCTTTCTGGTGGTGGTTTTCACTTTATAGGCCTGTCTGTTGTGTGGCTAAAAGTTGAGCTATGGGACCACCCACTCTGTTGAGCACCTTTGAGATATAATTCACATACCACATAGTTCACCATTTCAAGTGTATAATTCAGTGGTTTTTAGAATATTCTCATGGTTGTGCAACCATCACTACGATCTAAGTTTAGAGTGTTTCATCACTCCAAAAAGGAACTCTGTCCCTATAGCAGGAGCTCCCCATTCCCCTCACCCCAGCCCTAATCTGTGAAGTCATTTCCCACCACAGTGACTCCATGTGCGTCAGGGGAGAACTGTGCTGCATCGGGTTTTCGCTGACTGACTTTTCAGAAGTAGATCACCCACCCTTCATTCTGAGGCACCTCTGGACGTGACCTTAGGCACGTTCCTTCATGTCTCAGCATCGTTTTCCACCCAGAATGGTGTCCTCTTTATTGGAACGTGCTAGTTCAGGTCCCTGGTGGCTTTGTGGTTTGGCTTGGCCCCAGGAAGCTCAGCTGCCAGGAGTGGAGAGGGCAGCTGTTCCTTGAGCACCGAGGCCTGAGGGACCTTCTCTGCGGCTGCTGGCTGCAGCGTTGGACTCTGCCTGCGCTGGCCACAGCTGGAGCTTTCAATAAGGAGGTGGGGCAGGCGGGGCTGGAAGGCCAGGTCAGAACCCCAGCCAGCCAGATGTGGAGAGGAGAGGTGGAGAGCCAAGACAGAGAGTCGACACAGCACAGTGTGAGTGATTCCTGGGGCCTGGAGCCAGGGCCCTGCCTGCACCAGCCCCCCAGCTGTGTCCTTGACTCTTGCTCCATCTCCTTGATGTGTCCCTTGCTCTGAGTTTCTTTCCTTAAGGCTAGTACTCAAACTGCCCCTCAGGTGGCCACTTCTCCAGGCTCTTGCCCTTCGGGGCAGCACAACAGCCTCAGGTTGGGTGCTACCAGGAAGCCTGGGGTTCATTTAGTGGCCACTAGGCACTTGACTGCTAACCAGAAGGCTGGCGGTTCAAACCCACCAGCCACTCCTTGGAAGGAAGGTTGGGCAATCTACTTCCGTAGTGATAACGCCTCGGAAACCCAAGGAAGGGTTGCTATGAGTCAGGGCCAACTCGACGGCACATAACAACAACATAGAGACGAAAAGGCGCTCTGGTGATGCAGTGGCTAAGGCATGTGAATGCTAACCAGAGGGTTGGCAGTTCAAACCCACCAGCTGCTCTGCAGAAGGAAGACAGGGCAATCTACTTCTGAAACCCAAAGTTGGAATCAACTTGATGGCAGTGAATTTTTTTTTTTTTTTTTGTACAGAGAAGGCGGCAAGTGAGGCTCCGAGGTGTGGGTGGAGCTGTTCAGCCCAACTACCCAGGCCTCCTGATGAAGGTTTTCTCTCCATGAGCCAGAGCTGGAGCCTTCTTAGTGGCTCACTGAGCCAACCCAGAAATGCCTCATCTGTAGCCACAACCTAGAGAGGAGAGGGTCAAGATCACAGGGGCGGGGTCAGCTTCGCCTTGGCTTTCAGGGCTCAGCCAGGCTTGGAGGAGGTGGAGACCACTGTGTCATCAGGACAAAGGAGCTGAGACTCGCAGTGCCCCTGGGATGCTCTCTTGGCCATTTTCTCTAGGTTTCACCTGAACTTAACTGTCTATAAACTAAAAACCAAACTCACATTCAGTCAATTCCAACTCATAGCGACCCACCTTGGGTTTCCGAGGCTGTAAATCTTTACAGAAGCACACTGGCCCGTCTTTCTTCCATGGAGCTGCCAGTGGGTTCAAACTAACCTTCAAAACACCAGCCTTTCTGTTAGCAGCCAAGTGTCTTAACCACTATACCACCAGAGCATCTTTAACTACTTACTAAACAATCCAATCAACGCACTGCTATCGAGTCAATTCTAACACATAGAGACTCACATAGGGTTTTCAAGGCTGTAAATCTTTACGGAAGTAGACTGCCTCATCTTTCTCCTGCAAAATGACTGGTGGGTTCGAACTGCTGACCTTTTGGTTAGCAGCCACAGCACCACCAGAGCTCCTAATTAAAAAAAAACAACTCACTGCCATTGAGTCAGTTTTGACTCATAGAGATCCCCCTTGGGTTTCTGAGGTGGTAAATCTTTATGGAAAAAGATTGCCCCATCTTCTGCAGAGTGGTTGGTGGGTTTGAACCGCCAGCCTTCTGGTTAGCAATCTAAATCTGGTTCTCCAGCGGTTTGCTGTGTGACTCTAGGGAGTCACTTTACCTTCTTGTTTACCTACTGGCTAATCAGTGAGGATGCAGGGCTAATGGCATCTGGGAGGCCTGGGAATTGTGCAGAGCAGTGCTGTCTGTGGATAGTTAGGGAGGGAGAGCCTGCCTGCCTTTTGCCCACCCTTTGGTTCAGTGGGCATCCCCTGTCCTGTTAGTTATCCCCTCTGAGAGTTGGAGATGGAGCTGGGGAGAGCAGCATGCATGTGTGATTTATCTGCACATTATTTTTCCTCTGCAGTTTCAGGGTCATGCTGCAGCAGCTTAGCAGTGCCTGACAAGTGAGGGGAAGCCTGCCAGGGATTACTGCTAGAGCGAGCTAACAGCAGGACAAGCTGGCCTCAGGAGAGCGGGGATGGGCAGAAGAGCAGCTGAGCCCAGAGCAGCAGCCCCAGGAAGGAGGCCGCAGCCCTGGCGGGGAGCCCTGCACACACTCGGCTGCTGACCCAGACGGCGTTCCAAGCAGCACCCCACTGAGCAGCAGCTGTTCCCAGGCCCCAGAGGGTCTCCCAGCAGGAGCAGGAGCTCTGCAACCCACTATGCAACTGGAATTGGGGCTGTGACCATCGGGAGAAGGGGCTGGTACCTCTGATGGGACTCAGGAGCGCAGAAGCTAACACAGGGCGGATCTCGTCTCTGCAGAAGTTTCCTGACACCCACTGAGCTTCCTGGCCTTCTTTCCTCAGTATTGGGGTCCGGTGCCATTTCCCTGGCAGAGGGGTTGCATCAGGAGGACCACAGTGAGCAAGACGACTGCATGGACGCCAAGCCCCATGAAGCCCATGTGCTCTCTGTTGTGATTGGGGTTCTAGGGCTTCCCCACTGCAGGGGACAAGGGGCCACCTCAGTGTCTGCTCATGAGCCACAGGAACCCCGACTGCTCCAGACTGGACCATTACAAGCTGCCAAAGACGGGGAGCCCCAGGGCTGGCTGTCAGCGACCCCAAGGGACTAGAGGGCTGAAATGGACTGACCTCACTCTTGTCGGGGCGGTGAGCAGAGCAGAACCTCTGTGGCCCAGCTAGTGACGGGGAGACCTGATGAAGCCATAGCAGGGACCTGAGTGCTCAGGGTACCAGGTGTCAGGGACAGGGAAAGCCACCCCTGACCTCGCTTTCTTCTTAACTAAGAGAAAGGTGGTGTGGGACCTCTCCCGCTGTCCCCTGCCACGGCACGTGCCCCTATGCTCTTTGCATGTGGTGCCAGAATAGGTAGGCTACGCCGTGGCTGGCCCTTCGGTGGGCTGGGGAAGGAGTGGCCACGGTGACCCCCACCTGCCCGCCAGGCTGGTGGCCCAGCCCTTCGCCACTTCGCACCATGAAGTGCTCCCTGCGGGTCTGGTTCCTCTCCATGGCCTTCCTGCTGGTGTTCATTATGTCTCTGCTCTTCACCTACTCACACCACAGCATGGCCGCCCTGCCCTACCTGGACTCGGGGGCCCTGGGGGGCACCCACCGGGTGAAGCTGGTGCCGGGCTATGCCGGCCTGCAGCGCCTCAGCAAGGAGGGGCTTGTGGGCAAAAGCTGTACATGCCGTCGCTGCATGGGTGACACTGGGGCCTCTAACTGGTTCGACAGCCACTTCGACAGCAACATCTCCCCAGTCTGGACCCGAGAGAACATGGATCTGCCCCCGGACGTGCAGAGGTGGTGGATGGTGAGCTCTGTTGCCCCTCCTGCCACCCTTTTGCTGCCCCCCTCCCTCTCTCTGCCTGCTTTGGGGCCACTCCCAGAAACCCTCTTGGATCTGTGCTGTTCTGCCTTATGGCCCCAGAACCTTGACAAGGCTGAGGCCTGTTTGACGAGGCCACTAGACAGGATGGCAGGTGGTTAGTAAAGGGCAGAGCTGGGCTTTGGCCTGGAAGGGGAAAAAAACCAAACCAATCTCACTGCCGTCGAGTCGGATCTGACTCATAGTGGCCCCTCCTTAGGTTTCCGAGGCGATATCACTATGCAAGTAGATTGCCCAACCTGCCTTCCGAGGAGTGGCTGGTGGGTTTGAACTGACAGCCTTCTGGTTAGCAGTCAGATGCCTTAGGCACTGCACCACTAGAGCTCCTTGGAAGGGGAGAGAACTCATGTTTTCTTGTGCGTGTAGGGATCAAGCATGGTGTAGATCAGAAATGCCCGCTGGGCCAGGTAGGAGACGTAAACAAGTGAAACCAGTCACAGGTAAGAAGGTAGCTAGAAGTGAAGACCACAGGAAGTTGGAGACCTGCCCTTTACCAAGGGGGCAGCGCGTCTCAGCTCCAGTGACGGCCACTGGGCAAGAATATGGCCATTTGCTGCTGGATCTTCTGACCTTTTAAGAGAAACCAGAAATCCAGAATTTTTTTTTTCCTAAAATAGCCTAATTTATAAATGTTGGCTCAAAGTAATTTTAAATACCATGCATGCCACCAATTGACTCTTTACAATTACTTGAAAAGACTTTCTTCCGAGTCGAGTCTGGACACAGAAGCCTTGTACGCTGGGAGCTGAGGAAGGCAGAGGGGAGGTGTGCTGGGCCTGTTGAGGCCGGTCCTCCCTGCCCTGGGTCCTTCCGTCTTTCCGCAGCTTTCAGTCCCCTCCCCTTGCCCTCCATCTTCAGCATCCCTCCCCAGGTTCCACCAGAGCCATCTGATCATCTCGGGGGCGGAGGGTGCAGCAGCGTCAGTGTTTACCAGGGGCCAGTGGGTGTCTGGCTGCCTGCACTCCCCACTGGGTACTTGGGAGGCAGCCTGGGGTCCCTTGGTTTTCCCAGCTGGGAAGTGTCGAGGGTGGTGACATCCTTTCTCTCACATTCAGGGATGCTGAAAGGATGAACACCTGTTATCAGGCTTATCAGAGCAACTCCACATAACCTCCTCTCCAGCTTGGACTGCCAGAGCCCCTAAGGACCCTGCTGGGCCCTTCCTCATGCAGCCTTGGAGCCCTGTAAGGGGCCTGTTATTCGTAGTCATAGCTCTCATTTTAGGGGGAAGTCCAGGTTCAGAGGGCTAACAGGTCTCAGTGGTGTCCAAGTAGGGCAGGCATAGATGCTTCCTGCCCACAGGGATGCAGCAGCTGATTCAGAGCCAAGGATGTCCCGGGCAGAGACTCAGCAGAACTGCCTCTCCCTGTCCCCACCCCCACCCGCCCCTCCCTCCCCCATTGCCATAAATTTAAGAATTCTTACCTTAGAGCCAGGCTCCCTCTCCAGACTGAGGTTAGATTCTGGTTTCATGGTGGTGGTCGGTGGAGGGAGTACAGGGGACCAGTTTGATTCTGGAAGAATTTGTCTCCCTGCCTCCCCACCCCACCGAGGGCTCAGAGAGTGGCTTCAGGCACTGCAATACTGTTGCTGCAGTGACAGGAAGCTGAGTCCCAGCGGCGCCCCCTATAGGCTGATTGGGAAGGAGCCCCTGCCACCCCCGAGGGCTTTCCACATAGACTGCTCTGTGTGTGACTCAGAGCTGCCAGGAGGCCAGCAGAGCAGGGACTCTGCATACATGCCTATCCCAGGAAGTGTCTCTGCTGCGTGGCTCTGGTCTGCAGCTCCTTGAAGAATGAGAAGACAGCATCTAGACCCTTAGAGCCTCCGGTGCACCTCAGAGGCTTGATGGCCATCAAGCAGCGGGGTCTCCTAACAGTTGGGAGCCTGCTGCTGTTGAGCAAGTGGGGGGGCCCTCACCCCTTAGAGACAATCCTGACAGCCCTGGATCAAGAGACCGGCCTGTGTGGCTTAGACACTGGAGGGTGAGGGCGGTGGGGGAGGCCTTCCCTGCTCACACCCCCTTCTCTCCTCTCTTCGCATCTCCCCTCTCCTCCACAGATGCTGCAGCCCCAGTTCAAGTCACACAACACCAACGAGGTGCTGGAGAAGCTGTTCCAGATAGTACCGGGCGAGAACCCCTACCGCTTCCGGGACCCCCACCAGTGTCGGCGCTGTGCCGTGGTGGGAAACTCAGGCAACCTGCGGGGCTCTGGCTACGGGCAGGATGTGGACGGGCACAACTTCATCATGAGGTGAGCCCTGGGGAGCCTGGGGGTGGGCCAGGACCAGCCCTCAGGAGGGGCACTGGCTCCCTTTGGACCTGCCTGGTCGTTTAGGAGTTGCCAGCTGCCGGGGGATGTTGTCGGATCCAACACTGCTCGGGCACTCAGAACCTTCCACAACAGGTTCACGTCTCTCTGGGCTGGATGAAACTGCAGAATTCTGATTGCAAACTTTGCTTGAGGCCTGTGTTCAGTTCCCAAGGCTCTGAATTCCTCTGAAAAGAGCTGAAATAGATTCCTGGCTGCTGCTTGGTGAAAACTCCCACTAGAGGTCCTTCCTATCAGCCCACCCCTCAGCAGTTGGGCAGGGAGTGAGGACTCCACAGCAAACTGAGTGTCTTGCTCACAGTGACAGCTGGCTCTTTCTGCTGGCCGACTCACAAAAGACAGGCGGCCTGGGGAGAAGAGGGAGCTTCCCAGGGCTTGGTCTGGGCTGCGGCTCCTTACAAGCCTCTCACAGGGTTTAGGTTAAAATTATGGGGGCTCTGCCTAGTCGAGTCATTCATTCAACACGTGTGCTGGGAGGGGGCTGGGGCTCGTTCAAGACAAAAGCACAGAGCGGTGAAGGCCTGGGTGTGAGCAGGGAGTGGCATGTTGATGTGACCGGAATGTGAGCTGCTCCTTCTGCTCCTAAGCCTGTGGCTTTTCTGACTTCCTCCTACCCTTGGCTGAAGACAGGAAATGCCACTGCAGGATCCTTCCACCCCACTCCTTTGGTGGAGGAAGAGCCTTAAGGATACAGACACTGAAAATGCCCAGTTTTCACTAAGCATCTCCTAGGATGAGCATTGCAGAAAGGCCAGGTTTCCCAGGAGGCAGGAGGAAGGGCTTTGTCTTAGAAACTGTTGCTGTCTCCATAGCAACACTAAGCAGCAATATGTCTCTGAGGCTTTCGCATTCCTTGCGAAACCTTTCTTATGTTGGGAAGTGGTGTGTGTGGGGGTGGACGGAGAGGAGGATACTAGGCCCCATCCAGGAATTCTGAGCCACTCGCGATTGTTCCCCTCCTTCAGTTGCTGGCACCCGGAGGCCAGCCAGGAGCTGGAGAAAGGCCTCTCCGTGCAGAGTTGGTGGCTGAAATTGGGAATGAGGCTGCCATTGCTCCAGTGCAACACCTGGGGTACTTGGGAAGCCAAGAAAAATGAGATTCTCCCAAGTGCCTGCAACTCCTGCCTCTCCAGTCCCCTCACTGAGTGGGAGCTTTCACCAGGCTCTTCAGCAATGGCTGGAAGCTCCAGGGTTAGAACACTGCGGGCTCAAAAGGCACGGCTGCTTCGGTAACCTGGGCAGGCCAGGCTGCCGAAATGAATCCACAGATGCTCCCTCGCAGGGTCCAGCTGAAGAGGTGTGCTGTTGCAGTGGACCCAGGCTGCCTCCTGGAAGTCATGATCCAGATCGTAGTTGGCTGCCTGCTTGTCCATAGAAGGAGCCAGATGGTGGTGGAGGTGACTCTTTGCTTGTAGGCATATTTTGGTTTGGAACCAACGAGGGTGGTTCCCGTCCTGGAAGCAGGACCGATGTCGCACCTACTGGGAGAGCTGAGTTACAGTGAGGCAATGGCTCTTCCCACCTGTCCCCCTGCTGTTTCCTCCTTCCTATACCCCCTCCCTACTCTAAACGGAACTGAGCTGTTCCTGTCTGTGCTGGTCTGCAGATAGAGAGATCCCACTATTCCTACAGCACTGCCTGACAGACAGTACCAGTACGAGTTATGATCAAGTTGACTCTGATTCCTGGTGACCATGTGGGTTAGAACAGAGCTGTGTTCCGTCAGGTCTTCAGTGGCTGGTTTTTCAGACTGCCGGGGCTTTCTTCCAAGGCACTTCTGGGTGGACTCAAACCTCTAGCCTTTCGGTTAGCAGCCAGGTGGGTTAACCACTTACACCACCCAGGCAGTCCGGTAAACATGTCACAATATTATGTGAATGAATGGGAGAGAGTAGGCAACTCGGCACCAAACTCTAAACAAGAGTGCATGTCCATCCTGCCCTGCTCTTAATGTCCCCAAGTCAGGGACAGATAGGATTCCAGAAGGCTTGGCCCTGACTCGCAGAGATCATCTCATCCTCCCATCCTGCTCTGGCCTCCTTCCAGGCCTTAGCCGCTCCAGAATGAGTCACAGCCTCAAAATAAAACCTTGTCCCCAGAATGCCACGTTCCTTCCCTTCCCCTTGGAGGTTTGGAAACATGTCTTTTTGGACCTCTTACTCCATTCATTCCCAGACTTTTGGAAACTGATGCCTGGCCAGCAAGTGGGAGCAAACTAAGGGAGGTAGAGATTCTGCAGTAGGGCCATCTGGAGGCAGAATGGTCCTGGCACACTGGCCAAAGAAGGACCTCATGCAAGCTATGGCTGCCAGCTCCATGGAAAAGGCAGATGTTGGGTCTTCAGAAGCCAATCTGGGGGCAGCGGCAGCCCTCTGATCTCCAGGACCAGCTTGTCCTCTCCAACGCAGGCAAAGTGAAGTTTGTTTCTTAGAGTGAGCTTTGGCACCAGCTCTCAACCCAGGTCCCAGCCAACTTGAGTGTCACTGATCTTACTCATCTGCTTCCTGCTACCTATCTCTATACCCCAGGCAGCTGAGAGATACTTTCCTGCTGGTTCTGGCACCATACCTATCCACCTTCTCTGTTCCTTTCATAACCCATCGAATAGATCATGGAGTTATTTCTTTTTTTTTTTTTTTATTAGGATTTGGGTGAAGATTTACAGAGTAAATTCACTTTTCATACAGCAGTTCACATATACATTGTCTCAATGTCATTGACCAAAATTTACAATGCAGCAGCTCCCCTCCCACTTCCTCCCCATAGTTACCTCCTCCCAGTGTCCATCCCTTCATACTCTTCTGCACCCTGAGCTATCTCCCTGTGGATAAGCAGCCCTTCCTTCTCCCATGATTGTTCTCTCCAGGGCGTGTGTCTACTTGAGGTAAATGTTTAACTCACATGCCTGTACTTTGTTTGGCTGGAAACCACAGTTGTGGGTTCAATTCCAGACCTGAAGGGCAACTAGGGGCCATAGTCTCAGTGGTTACACCAGGCTCCATTGGACCAGCAAACCTGGTCCCCACCTTCTTTTCTTTTTTTTTTTTTTGCCATGGAGTTATTTCTTATCAGCACATGTAAATCTGTGTTTACTTTTCACAGCTATGTAATATTCCAGCATGAAAGGAATGTGCCAATATTTATTAACAAGTTATTTACTGTTTGATATTTAGCACTTTTCATTGTTGTAAATACAATAAGGAATGTCCTTGTATGCATGTTTTTAGACACATGTGCAACTGTTTTTATAGATTTCTAGAAATGGAATTGTTGGGTCAAAGTGTACACCCATTTACATTTTTGATGGATAGCGCCAAATTATCCTCTAACATTCGTGAACCGGTTTCAGTGGTTTCTTCTCACCATCACCTTCGTCCCTGCAGGATGAATCAGGCACCGACTGTGGGATTTGAACAGGATGTTGGCAGCCGAACCACCCACCATTTCATGTACCCTGAGAGCGCCAAGAACTTGCCCGCCAACGTCAGCTTCGTGTTGGTGCCCTTCAAGGCCCTGGACCTACTGTGGATTGCCAGCGCCCTGTCCACAGGGCAGATCCGATTGTGAGCCTCTCTGTTCCCTGGGAGTGGAATAGGGGTGTCAAGAGCACTTTGGGTGGATCCTTCCTAGGACTGGATCTGAGAATTCCTTTCACAGAACTCTTCGGCCAAGAAGGCTTAGGAGGAGGGGAGAGGCAGTAGTAGGGAGGGCCCAAAATGGTGAGTTAGCTGGAGCACAGCTTGTTCTGTGCCACCTCCTGCATGGAGGCATCCAACATCCTAGTGATGGGCAGGTGAGGGAAGGACTGTCTTGTCTCCATTCCAGGGGGTAGCTCCTAACTGTGAGAAGACTGCCTTCTAAGCACTTTTCCTTGGGGAGCAGCTGCACCAGCATAGCTGGGGGCCATGAGATACTCAGTTCACCATTTTTTTTTAAATTGTGATTTGGGTGAAAGTTTACAGAGTAAATTCACTTTCCATACAGCAATTCACATACACATTGTCTGATGACATTGACAGTTTACCCCAATGCAATAGCTCCCCTTCTACTTCCTCCCGATAGTTACCTCTTCCCTGTGTCCATCCCTCCATGCACTCCTGCCCCCTGAGCTGTCTCCTTGTGCATAATCAGCCCTTCTTTCTCCCGTGATTGTTCTCTCCAAGTAGTGTATCTACCTCAGGTAAATGTTCAACTCATATGCCTGTCTTTTGTTTGGCTGGAAGCCACAGGTATGGGTTCAATTCCAGACCTGAAGGGCAGCTAGAGACCATAGTCTCAGTGGTTCCACCAGGCTTTTATCAGACCAGCAAACCTAGTCTTCCTTTTTTTGTTTTTTTTCCCAAATGATTTTGAGTTTTGTTCCACATTGTTCTCCCTCTCTATCCAGGATCTCCTACATAGATCCCGCTCTGACTGGTTGACAGTGGTAGCCGGGCACCATCTAGTTCTTCTGGTCTCATAGTCATATAGGCTGAGGATCGCATAGTGTACCAATTGCTAAGACTAATTGTTTCCATGAATCTTTGGTTTTCTTCATTCTTCTTTGCTCTGGACCAGGAGAGACCAATCATGGCATCTAGATGGTTGTTTGTAAGCTTTTAAGATCCCAATTGCTACTTGCCAAAGTAGGAGGTGGAACAATGTTTTGTGTAGTATGTTATGCCAATTGAGCTTGATGTCCCCTGTGGCTATGGTCCCGAGCCCACAGGTTCAACTACTTGGTCCCTCTGGGTAGCTGGCTGACAGTTCACCATTTTTTACCAACAGCTTTATTGATTGAGATCTAACTCATACCATACAATTTACCCATTTAAAGTGTACAACGCAGTGGCTTTTAGTATAGTCAGAGTTGTGCAGTAATCACAGTTAATCTTAGAACGTTTTCATCACCCCAAAACGGTACACCCCAGGCCTCTTAGCCATCACCCCCACCTCCCTCCACAACCACCCCCAGTCCTGTTGTTAGCTACCAGTGAGCTGACTGCCGACTTTATGTACGATAGAACAAAACGTTGCTTAAGTCTGCACCATCCTCACAACTGGCAGCATGTTCAGGTCTCCCTCACTGACCCTCTACTGCACCAAACACAGTACCTTCCTGCAGCAGTGGATCCCTTCTGGGGACATGTCCAGAGCAAGCAAGTCGGGCAGTGTGCCGTCATGATCCATAAGGTTTTTATTGCCCAGTTTTGGGAAGTGGATCACCAAATCTTTCTTCCTGCTCTAAATCTGGAAGCTTTGCTGAAACCTGTCCACTGAGGTGACCGTGCTGGTATTTGAAACACGTGATACAGCTTCCAGCATCAGCGACACGCAAGCCACCACAGTACAACAGACTGATGGACGTATACTCATACCTCTTAGCCGTTACCCCCATTCCTTCCACACACACACACACCCCTAAAGTCCTAGACAACCACTAATCTACTTTCAGTCTCACCATGTATTTTTTTTTTTTTTTAAAAAGATACAATTTCCTGGCTTTAGGATGTTCATCATCTTATCTTTTGGAGAAATAGAATTAAATAAGTGCTATAGGGTCATGGCTAGCTAATAGGGCAGGTGGGACTTCCACCAAGCCTGAGTAGAGAGAAGGTCATACTAGGCAGAGGAATGGGACAGACATGGTAGGTTTGAGATGATCAGCTGACTCAAGTGGAGAGCTCCCAGCAAAGAGTGTAGGAAGAAAAGCTGGGGCTAGGTAACAGAAGCCCCAGGTATTCCACCTCGAAGGACAGGGGGAGCCACGGAAGGTTTCTGAGCAGGTGATGAAGGTGCTGTGGGAGATCCCTGGAGGCAGGGAGGTCTGTTATGAGGCTGTCACCACTCAGGCCTGTGGGGTGGAAAGATGTGCCTAGGTCCTACAGGGCCATCTGAAGTATGACCTTTCTGTCTGCTTGCAGCACCTACGCCCCAGTGAAATCCTTCCTTCGAGTAGACAAAGAAAAGGTAAGTTTCTTACCTCCATGCTGGTCTCACTTGTGCTGTGTCTGGTCCTCTGGTCCTAGTTCCCTTCTAGAACCTTTACAGTCTCCACTGTTTGGTATGCCTGACCCTAGCAGACGTCAGGAAGCAGAACACAGCAGGCACAGGTCCGCCAACAGGCATGGAGGAACTGGCAGAAGCCGCCCAGAGCCTGGCCTGGGTCTCTGGGCCCCAAAAGCCCCTCGCGTACCTGTTGCCCTTTTCCCTCCAGGTCCAGATCTACAACCCCGCCTTCTTCAAGTACATCCATGACCGGTGGACGGAGCATCACGGACGCTACCCTTCCACAGGGATGCTGGTGCTCTTTTTTGCCTTGCATGTGTGTGATGAGGTGGGTAGGAAAAACCGGGGCCCACAGAACAGAGGGCATGCCATCCTCAGATCTTAGAGCGCCCCCAGGGGAATGGCTTTTTGTAGGCAGAAACCAAGCAGCTTTGATGTCCCCCATGTTTGGGCTATGATGTGTAGATCTGCATTTCTCAAACCTCACCACTGTCTTGATTGTACCAAACCGGAAATCAAGTCATAAAAGTTCAATTTACTTTAAAAGCAGATTGAATTCTACTGCCATGGATGCCAGGAGCCCTGGTGGTACAGTGATTAAAGCGCTTGGCTGCTATCTCCAGGGGAGAAACGTGGCAGTCTGTGACAGTAAAGATTACAGCTTTAGAAACCTTATAGGACACTTTTACCCTGTCCTGTAGGCTCTCCATGAGTCAGAATGGACTCCACTTTGTTGTTACCTTTGAAGCTAGTGCCATAAAGAAAAAGTAACCATGAACATGAATAGAATGGGAACACTAGTTGAATTTCAGCCTGATGGTTGTCGCCTGGCTGAGCACTCTGGCCTTGCTGGCCCTGAACACAGGTCAGTCATTCAAGGAACCACACGAGGTCTGTGCTCATGCCCAAGCACACTCACCTTTCCCAGTAAATTCTAAGGTGTGGTACTGAGCACTTGGCTGCATTAAAAAGTTACCAAATACTGGGGAGCTGTCATAAACTAGACCCAAACTGAGCTAGTTCTCGATGTAATCAGGTAGGGGGAACAGAATTAATTGAAAGGGAAACAAGTCACCTTGTGGGAGTCAGTATCCTTAATGCCAGTCCCGGATGTCCCTTATGTCTCCCTCACCCGGGAATTGATGAGCCTGTCAGCTAACCAGGGTATCCTCCTGCGCCCCCTCTCGGCGCCCCGCCCAGCGTAGTCCAGGGCGCGAGGGATCAGAGGCCCTCCTGCGCCTGTGTCCACAGTCACCGACGCAGCGGCCCTCCCTGCGCTTCCCCGCAGGTGAATGTGTACGGATTCGGGGCCGACAGCCGGGGCAACTGGCACCATTACTGGGAGAACAACCGGTACGCGGGCGAGTTCCGTAAGACGGGTGTGCACGACGCGGACTTCGAGGCGCACATAATTGACATGCTGGCCAAAGCCAGTAAGATCGAGGTCTACCGGGGCAACTGAGACAAGCCTTGCCGCAACCCTTCCGGCGCAGCCATGTGGCGCTACGCCCTGGGCCGGGACTACGGGCTACGGGAGGGCGACGGCTTGGGCGCGGCGCAGCACTCAACCCTCCAGGTTATCCAGAGCGACCCAGGCCGCCGGGCTGGACCAATCATGCTGCAGCCAGGGGGCTCCGGCTGTCCCCGCCAATCACGAGACTGGGGGCTGGCCGGACCTGGCACCAATCAGCGCTGCAGGAGAGTGGAGACTTGTTCTTCCACCCAATCATGCGACTCAAGGAGAACTTGAGCTGCTCGGACCCGTCTCCTCCAATCAATGGCCTTGGGAGGCGGGCTGGCGGCCGCTCAATCCCCACCACCTTATGCTTTTGGATAGTATTTTATGTTTTTTTAGAAGTCCCAGCCTCGATGAGGTACTTTTCTCAGGCTCGACAGGAGAAGCGTAACAGCGCTTGCCGGTCTGACCCTATCAGGGGTGTGGAGAAGGAGATGGTGGGGAAGGCTCGGGGCAGGACCTCTTGCTGGGTGTGGAAGGTGGATACGGTAAGGAGCCTCTCATTCCCCGGGCAGAGGCTGGGATGGGGTCTGAAGGGAGGCCCAACGAGGCTTTCTGGTGGTTGAGGCGCCGTGGTCTCAATGGTTTCCTGGAAGTGCGCTTTAACCCTAGGAGGAAAGCTAGAGCGCCCCCCGTCCACCCAAATCTCTCCAGGCCTTGGAGATTTCAGGCTCCACATTTCCTTTATGTATCATGCCAGATGGGTGAGTGTAAACCCACCAAAGAAATGCAGTCACAGCGAAAATGCAGAGGGCGCGTGGGTCCCCTCGGCCTCCATCCGTCCCCTCCCAGCCTTTGGCCACCCTATGGAATGGCCTTTCTCACCAGAAAACTAAGAGAATTTTACTCACCCCTTGCTTGGGGGTCGAGTTCGCTTAGGGCTTAACTCTGGAACACAGGTGTAAAGAACAGGGTTGGGGACAAGGAAGCCCTGTCACATCAAATGTAAAGGTGCTTCTCAAATGTGTACCCTCAACCCCTACTGTTCATCTACTGCCCTTTTTAGTGTCTCTCCTTAGGCTCTGGGCCTCCTCACCAGCCTACTTGTTGCTCTGAAAATAATCAGAAAACAGTGCCCTGGGATTGAGCCCCTGCTGCTTCTCTCTCTCTCTCTCTCTCTCTCTCTCTCTCTCACGCACAGGCACACAGTCTTTGGCTGGCTCTGGGGAAGAGGAGCAACAGGTTGGAAAAAAAGGAGGCTGGAGATAGGATGCCCGCCACAGTCTGGTGCCTGCACCTTCTTCCTTCACCCATCACCCCAAAGAGGAGTAGGAAGCCTCTTGCTTAGGGGTGGAATTTGGGCACATGATTTAGTTAACCTGAAGTTGGCCGGGTATGGCTAACCAACAGAGATGCTTTCAAAATTCTAAGCTGGCCATGCAGACAGCCAGAGCCTAGCTGGGGAGGAACAGACTTGCCCCTGCATGCTTCCTTCCCCAACCCCCGGTGGTCCCCTTCCCCCCATGCTCTCCAGCTTCCTCCCTTGGCCTTCTCCCTCTACCCACTTCCCAGTTCCACCTCGAGGAGGGCTGGGAAGCTAACAAGCAGGCTTCCAGCCAGAAGCTGTTTGCATGACAGAACCCTGCTTCAGTGCCAGGTGGAAGCTGTTGATGATAGTCTCACCCTTCAAGGTTGGGGAAGTTTAGGAGGGAAAAGGGCTTCTGTGAAGCTTCCAGACCACGAAAAGGATCCCCCTTTCCCAACAGTAGCAGCTCTGATGGGTGGGTCAGTGGTTGAGGCATTTGGCTGCTAACCAGAAAGTCAGTGATTCATAACCCATCAGCTGCTCTGTGGGAGAAAGGTGAGGCAGTCTGTTCCTGTAAAGGTTTACAGCCTTGGAAACCCTATGGGGCAGTTCTACTCTGTCCTATAGGGTTGCTGTGAATCGGAATCGACTCAGTGGCTATTGGTTTGGTGTCTGATTTTTTCCCCAACAGTGACTGACAATAGATCTCAGCATTTTCTTAGTGAAATGACCACCAGACAGCCTTCTGGGGTGTGCAGCTGACTGGAAGAACAGTAACCAGCAGGGGAGTTGACTGACGAAGGGGTGGGACGGGGTGATGGGCACCCCTAAAAGTTAATACATTGAGAATTTTGCTTGAGTCTTCCCAACTCCCATAGTAGGAGGAATAAAGAATGGGGGTGGACTTGGGGGACCGGTAGTGGAATGTCTCCCTCAGGACTCCCCACCATTTTAGAGAGTCAAGGCGCCAGCCATTCTTGCCAGTCTCATCTCAATACTTTGGGGAGAGGCTGTTTTGAGTGTTTAGAAAGTCGAAAAACAATGCAATTATGCCAAACAGTATTAAGCAGAATAATTTATTTCCTTTTTTTGCTCCTTTTTCTTACTTTTTTTCTTTTTGGTTTTAACTATTAAATCCTCATTCTGGAAGAGATAGGTCCTAGCATCCAGCCCAGATCTTTTTAGCAATAGTTAAACACCTATTTTTTATTTTCTTCTCTTTTTCTCTCTTTCTGAATTAAAACAACAACAACAACAACAAAAAAAAACTTTATAGTCAGTCTTCTGTTCTGAAATGTATTTTTGATCATGGAAAAAAAAATGTATCTGAGAATGGGCAGATGTGACCAAATTAATGGCTAAGAATGTTCAGGTGGTGGGGTGGGGTGGGGAAGGCTAGTGGGGTTGGAAAGTTACTCCAGACCCTCCACTCCCCTTATACATGAGGACCCTGGTTCCATAGGCCCTGTACTCTCAAGTGCCCAAGACACTTAAATCTGAAGATCTGCAAGTCTGTCTGGTTAGCAGTGAACTCATTGTCTCCTTCAGAGAGATTAACTGGGAAGAATTTTTGGCAGCAACTACCCACAGTGGCTATCCTAATGTCATCTTGACTGGCACCTCTTCATGAATGCTTTACTACCAATGTCTCCATCACCATCTCTGTTGTGTTTGGGCATGTCACAACATCTGTCACACTGGGAATGTGTATCGCAAGCTTGGTCACTAGAGCTCTTGGGGCAACTTTTCCACATTTTTGCATTGCTTCTGGCTCTCATGCCCCACTCCTCCCGCCACAAGGGGAAATGACATCTTGCTTGTTGCTCAGCAGGAGGGCAGAACCTTCTTTGGGAGAGCTGCTGGGAGGAGATGGAGTTTCATCGTTGGCCATCTTTGCTCATCGGTGCACCTAAGCAGTGGGGACTCGGGAACCTACATGGCAGGCATTGTGCACCACAGCTTTGATGTGCTGCCGAATGTTTCTTGTCCTGGGCTCCACTCAAAGCTGGCTGCCTTATGGGCTGTGTAACAGCACAGCCAAATGCTGTACACATTGCCCCCAGAATCCCAGGGGTCTCTCCAAGCAATGCGTCCTCTTCTTCATGGTGGCCAGGGACTGTGTTGCTTTGATTTAGTGAAGATTCCACTTCTGGAGTGATAGGTTGACATGACCACTTGATTTCCATTAATCTATTGTCATTCTTCATGAGACCTGTGTGGCTTTGACACCAAGCAAACAGGTGAGTAAATGAGATGAGGTGAAAATGGCTTGCCCTGTATTATTTAGGTTTTGATGGTGGCATCTATTTTTGCAAGCCCTACAGAAATGTGGTATTGACTTTGCACTTACCGTCTTGGAGATGGGGTGGAGGGCAGTTCATTCATCATCATCCTCACTCCATGGTTCTGGTTGCCAATGTGAGGATTTTGCCAGGTAGTAAATAGACTTCTTTCCTTCTGGAACTGAGGAAATTAACGTAGGTCTGTGATCTCACTGGTCCCACTTCTAAGGACTTGGGCCAAGTCTTCCTCTATAATTTGCCCTACATAAGCTCCTACCCTAACTGTTGGGCCACAGTGCCACTTCAGGTCTCAGAGTGCTATCTGATAGCCCGGGAAGTCTTGGTGTTTCTGTTTTTCTGTTCTGTGTCTGTGTTGCACTGTCCCTTCAGTAAGCAAATTGCAGATTCCTCTGAAAAGGCTTCATGCTGTGCATGAGAGCTACAGCAGATGACTTCCTCTAAGGACTCTTGACAGAGGGGCCCCAGGTCTGGGAACTGGGCAAGAAGCTGTGAATCCTCAGCCTGTGGCTCATGGTAGGTTTCTTCTCAGCATAGTTAGAAGTTTACCCTACACAAAATCAAGCAGTAACTTAGCAGGCTGTCCACCACCTATTTCATCTCTCAGGATCCCTATGATTGGCTAGCTATTCCCCTAAAGCCTTGTAAACCTAACTACCACACTGCAACTTGTTATGGTAGATGTGCCTGCCTTATCTGGGACAGTTCAGTCATCCTTCCGGCCTTTACTAGGCTGGGATCTCAATCTTGGTGAGATCAAGGAATCAATTCCAGCACAGCACCACCCTGTCATGTCCTACTTAAAAAGGAAAGCCACCACAGAGCACTTCAACATTGGTGTCCCTATCACAAATGCAAGAATGCATTTTAAAAATTAATTTCTAAAAACTTTCACTGTGGTCTATAATACATAGAAAAGCATAAATATACAGAAAGGTAGAACTCAGCGATTTTAAGATGAACACCTACAGAACCACCAGCAGGTTGTGGGGGCATCCCAGAAACCTCCGTTCCCCCGTACCCATTGCCAAGCACAAGCCCCTTCCCTGCTCCCCAAGGTAACCACTGTCCTGATAGTCTGTGATCATTACTTCCTTGGTTTTCTGTATATTTCTATCATCTGAACACATGGACGACAGGTATGTGTTTACATATTCATTCCTAAACACTATGGTTTTGTTTTTTACTCTTGAACTTTGTATAAGTAGAATCATATAGTATGTGTTTTGTGTTTGTGCATTTTCTGGGTGTTTGCAGCTTGTTTCACTATATTTGTGAGATCCACCCGTGTTGTATGTAGCTGTAATTTTTTTCCATTTTCATTCGTGTATAGAATATTATTTCATGACTATCTATTAAGATATAAATGGATATTCTGAATAATGCTGCTATGAACATTC